CTGTTGACCCTTGACCTGACGTATATGTGATATGAATATGAATGACCTTTGCTTATGCATCATGAAGATATGATGGATAACGTGATTTCACAAAATGGCGCCTGGATGACGTCACGATGACCTGATGACCTCGAAAATGTTCCTGTCACGTCTCATGACAATGATCTATGACTGTGTCAAAATTGAAAGAAATTAACACAACCAATCTTGAGTTAACCGATAAACAAAAACGGGAAGAAATAAAAATAAATAATAATAAATAAATAAATAAATAAATAAAGAAAGAAAATTCTGACGAAAACAATAGGTGATCTGTCGAAAACGACAGACCACCTAATAATAAATAATAAATAAAGGCAATTCTAACGAAATTATAAGGTGGTCTGTACGTTATACAGCCCACCTGATAATAATAACTAGACTTTAATTCGTCACTTAGACGAATTAGGTGATACGTATGATAGTGGTTTACATAGCGAATAATGCATTACACGATATATTATTTTGTAAAATGCTTCTCCCATTTATATGCTTCTCCCATTATGATCTATTCATATGTCAAGATTAAATTGTGTCTCCTTGATCATCATGGATCTAGGGAAGATAGATTGAAACAATATATGACCTTTGACCCTGTGCAGTAACCAGTTACACATTTGACTCTAATTTACATCATGAAGAACACCTTTTGACGATTTTTATCTTATTCAAAGAAATGAAAATGTAATTGATAAATGATTATCATCATTATGATAATGATGATCATGATGATCATGATCATGATCATAAGCGCGATCATGACATCTTATTGAAAAAAAAGAGGGTTGATTTAGATAGCATATAGTCTCAGCTACAACATACTCAAAAATCAACAAAATCCAACCCGAAATAACGGCGATATTGCTCGCAAAAGACAGGAATGTAGAATCCAGATTTGAAAAAAAAAGTCATCTCCCATAGGGATTACACGCAAAAAGTAATGGATTAAGTGAAAATAGGGTAATAATAAAGTAAAAAGGGTTATTTATGACATTATTTGCGAATCTACGTGTTTAAATAATCAAAGGAGATGGTACAGTGAAGGTCAAAAGGAAAAAACAAGTGAAAAAAAAAGTGTTGGAGACACCCGGAATCGAACCAGGGATCTCGAGGTTGGAAGTCAAGTGCGTTACCGATATACCAAAACATCTCCCATAGCGATTACACGTAAACGGGAAATGGAATTCAGAAATCCTACTTTGCAAGTGAAATATGAGCATAATCCCGGCATCTGATCGAAATATAAAAGGCACACGTGTGATAGCTTATTGTCTCAGCTACAACATATTCGAAGCTCAGCGAAAACAAAGCTAAAATATGGGAGATTTCGCTCGCAAAAGACAGGAGTGTAGAATCCAGTTTTGAGAAAAAGTCATGTCCCATAGAGAATACACGCAAAATGTGAAAAATTGACATGCCTCCTTTAATCGCAAAAGTACGCCTTGATGCCTTAGTCAAAATGAAAAATTGTGACAACTATACTTGTAGCAAATTGTCTCAGCTAGAACATATCAAAATTTAAAAGAAAATTGATCAATATTTACAGAGATACAATTAATTTTCCAAAAATATGCTGACGTCATAATATGCAAATTGAAATTTTGAGTTTGGAGGCCATTATGATGACATCATGAGTTAATTGAGGGTCAAATGAGACATGAAATCATATCTCCAACTCATAATCTATCTAAATATGAAAACATATTGGGAGTTCCCATCCATTCTGAACAGTTACAATGAATTTTGTATAGGCATGTTTTTGCCAATGTATGGTGGATAAAGATAACGCAGATCTGCGCGTGCTGTCAACTTTGACGGACGCTCATTGCGTTATTAAAAGGTGAACAAGTTATCAAAATGCTTGGAAAAATGTACCAAATATAATGACAGAAAAAATTCGGCGATTCTATATTGCAAAATGCCAGTACGCGCGAAAATGCGCGCGCATGCGCGTGTGCGTAATTTTTTTATCAAATGCTCCATATGGCCTGAAACGGATGTAAAAAAAAATTGGGATGATTTGGAGCATTTTAATTTTTTTCGCGCGCGTAAACGCGCGGACATAAGCGTACGCGCATTTTTGCGCGCATTTATTGACTTGAAATTGACCGGACGGATATTGAGTTTAATCATGATAAATATGAATGAAAAATGGCTTTCCTTTATGAAGATATGATCATAAGTTGATTTTCACAAAATGGCGCCTGGATGACGTCACGATGACCTTGACTGTCTGAAAAGTCACACAGTTTCTAAGTTAGACTAAGATCTATCATCATTGAAAGTTTCATGATAATGGCTTTATTCAGTCTTGAGATATCCTGCGAACAAATTCGAGGAAGAATAATAAAAATAAATAATAATAATAATAATAAAGAAAAATCTTGACGAAATCAAAAGGTGATACGTTGACTTCGTTACGTATCACCTAATAAATAATAATAAAATCTTGACGAAATCAAAAGGTGATACGTCTACGTACGTATCACCTAATAAATAAATAAATAATAAAAATCTTGACGAAATCAAAAGGTGATACGTCTACGTACGTATCACCTAATAAAAACCTTGACAAAAATACAGGGACAAAAAAAACCTATGCTAATAGAGAGAGGTGAATTCATTTTTTATAAGTTCATACTAATTTTTTATTAAAGGTTAGTGATAATAGTCAAATTTGACTGTTTGCTATATAATGCTGAACTCAACAAAAACAACATCAACATCGAGGCATCGTGGGTGGTCGGGGTATACGAAAGCGGAAGATGACGCGACCTTTCCTAAATTTGCCGTAGGGTTCGGGTAAATTGGACCAGATGATTTGTAGATGACCCGTGATTCGAAGTAAGCCATATAAATAATTATGTGTTGCTTCGAATCAATACCATAATGTGCTGAGCCGAGTCGACTGTGGATCAAAAGTTTTTTCTTCCTGCCATATCCATTCGTTATCTTTTATCTTTCCTTAGGAAGCTATCAAGGTAAGTGACTTTTTATTCCGAATGTATTTTTCATGAAATTTGTAGACATAATATTTATTATAGTCATAATCGTAATATAACTTAATCTAAACCAGATCGTTGTGCAATATCCTTTCTTACCAAATTAAACCTGGGAATGCCATTTTTTGTAAACCTTTCAGTTAGTACCCCCTTCTTTGTGCACTCTTCTTATCCATTTGCAATCTTCCCTTTAACCTTTCCACCCCTGTTTATTTCTCTCTCTTTGCCCATTACCCTCATATTAAACTGACGCAAGCAATTACATTCTCAGGCTGTAAGCGTTTTTATCCCTTTCACGACAAGATTTATTTTCCGGGCTAATTTGATAAATATTTTCATCAAATTGGCAACAATGATATATTTTTCCTTTATTGCTACATTATTTGAAAAAAATGTCTCTGAAAACATTACATGTGTGCCCATATGACTCCGAATAGTCTCATTGAACAACGCCCCCTATCGTCACAGTCCAGCAGCCTAACATGTTAGCCTACTGACTTTTACCCCAAAAAATCGTTAAAAATTCATTTTTTGTTTAAACGAAAAGCACATTTAACCCGACGTACGTTGACACTAGCTCTTTCATTGGAACCCTCATGTCCCATTGACTTTTGAAAGTTTACCCACCGTAATTTGGTCAAAATAGGTCGCTAGCTCGCCATTGCCTATATAACACTTGTAAAACAAGTCGAACTTTGGACGCAATTTGCAAAGCTATTGTAAGGTTATAGGTAAAGCACACGAAGGATAACAAGCACAAGCATTATAAATGCATTCATGAATTGGCACCAATTTATCTGCAAGAACTAATCCAGGAAAACAAACCCTCGCGCAATTTACGGTCATCTTTACAATTAAACCTCATGTCTACTTCTGTGTCAACTCTATCTTATGGTAATCGCTCTTTTTGCAAAGCTTCTGCTGAACTTTGGAATAGACTACCTTTCAATGTCAAAAACTGTCAAACTGTTAAACTAAGTCTTAAGACACATTTATTAAAAATTGTTTTCGCTTATTAATTAACTCTGTTCACTTTGATGTATATGTATTGTAACTTGTATGTTTATTTGCACTATTTTGTTTTGTTTAATATGTAATTGTTTATCAGTATATTTTGTTTGTTATAGCGCTATAGAGACTTTATAAGTAAAGTTTTTATTATATTATTTATGAATTATCATAGATCAGTTCTGATCGGTTCATTATGTCTGTTTCAGCTAACCCCCTACCGTATTTTTTTCCATTTAGTATAGGCACGCTTTTTGCCGAGGTAAGCAAAAACATGAATATTCATGATCGCCATGGACTATTCGATTATTTACAGAGGAGTGAAATTGTGCACCACATCAACTCCCCTACTTTAAGTCAAGTATTTCATTGTATTATGTAGTTTGGTAGGTTTATTTTAATAACTGTTTAATTATAAGATATCAATGATAGTTTAAAGATATGGAAAATGTTCTTGTATTTTATATTTAGCAAAGCAATCTCACATACAAATTCACTACCTAGTGTCGTCTAATCCGCGGATTGCCGTCTGCTATATACGTCCAGCGAGCGGAAATGAGACAACCGGATTAATATGCACTATGTTGTCGACGTGGTTTAATAAAAAATGTCCCAATGTTGATCGAAAAACAATGATGTTAATCTTTAAACGTGTTGCCAATTTGAGGATTTTAAATCATTATTTCCTTTTTAAAGTTCCTGGCATCAACGCAATAACGGCCATGAAACAAAAATGGACGCAATGTTGCTAAAAATGCCCTTTCTACCCATATACTTTGCATTATAGGGCTCTGGATCAAAAGTTGGTAAGCCAAATCACAAAACGTGGAATGAGTGGTGCTGAAGGGTTATAATCATAGCGCCTGGTTATTACAATGGGTATATTATCAACATTTTGAAGTAACCAATCTTTTCTTTTATTGTCCCTTTTAAACCTGTAGCCCGATAAAAATGGCAAATATTCATCTTGATGAAAAGCCCTATATCATGGCTCCTCATGAATACAAGGGCATCCAGTACCCAGGAGTAGTGCTTCCATCCAGCATCGACGCGATGGAGACCTTCGAAGTCCGTCCCGACGACGTCTTCGTTGTGACGTTTCCGAAGTCAGGTAAGGATTTGGTGAAATCATCTCATTACAAGGGCGAATACTTGTTCTCGGTAGTAAGGGCGGTGGGGAGGGGGGGGGGGTATATGTGTAAAATACCGTTCGCTTTTTCGAGTGATATTAAATTAGACTTAATCTAAAATCCTTGGCATGCCGTTGATTCTATTCATTTGATAACACTTGAACCTTTACGAATATTCTAACTGAAAATAATTAGTGTTCCAACTCCAAATATCAATAAAGGTACTCATTGGTTGATGGAGATCACCGGACTCGTTCTCACCGATGGATATCCGGAGAATATCAACCGGAGTACCTGGGGTTGCATCGAGATGATCAACATCCATGCTATCCAGTTGCCCAAGACAAGAGCCGAAGAGTTGGCCAACCCAGTGAAAATGACGCCAATGTTAGACGAGATTGTGAAAGCGCCCTCTCCAAGGCTGATGCGGAGCCACTTGCAGCTGAAGAATTTGCCGCCGAATTTGCACAAACTAGCCAAGGTATTTTTATTCTTTCGTATCAATGTTGTGTTCAGGCGCGCCGGAAGCAGTTTGGGATAGGGGGGGGGGAAACATTCCAGGGGGGCTCACCTTCCAGGGGCAGTAACGTAATGAGAAAAACGTTCGGAAGGTGGGGGGGGGGCATACGAAAAATCTGCATCACCACCAGTCTTACACGTTACATGCAGGTCCTGCGGAACGTTTTTCAAAGTGGAGTACAAACGATCAGGAAAGGCGTAAATTGGCGTGGGGTCCAGGGCGTGAGCCTCAGCAGGGTGTCAAGGGGCTGAGCCCCCGGAAACTCAGGGGTTTTAGGTATTTAATTACGGTTAGATGACCAACCAGGTGCCCTCTTTAAGCCATTGACGTGTTCCAGGGGGGGAGAGCCCCCAGAAGCTCAGAGGTTTTAATATTTAACTACGGTCAGATGAGCATGCAGGGGCCGCCTTAAGACCCTTGGTGGGGTCCAGGGGGCAGAGCCCCCGTAAGCTCAGGGGTTTCAGGTATTTAATTACAGTCAGATGAGCATCCAGGGGCCGCCTTAGGGCCTTTAGTGGGGTCCAGGGGGCAGAGCCACCGGAAGCTCAGGTTTTTTTAGGTATTTAATTACGGTCAGATGAGCATCCAGGGGCCCGCCTTAGGGCCCTTGGTGGGGTCCAGGGGGCATAACCCCCGGAAGATCAGGGTTTTTAGGTATTTAAATACGGTCAGATGAGCAACCAGGGGGCAGAGCCACCGGAAGCTCAAGGTTTTTTAAATATTTAATTACTGTCAAATGAGCATTTTTTATACCTTTTTTGTGACATTGGCAGGTCACTTATTTTTTTCTCTCCGTCTTTCTTTCTTTTTCTCTTTAACATACTTTTTCAAAAAGTGAGGGGGGGGGGCTCGAGCCGAGTCACTTTGCAGACCATGATATAAAGGCTTATTAATAAGCGTATTTTTAGCCCGACTGCGCATTTGGGAATTTCTTATTTTTCAACAAACGCATAAAAAGGTATGACCTACAAAAAAATGGAGAAAAAATACCGAAAAATCATGTCATAACATCAACATTTGCAAATCACTGGTATCGAATAAGAAATACACCCACCCCCCCCCCCCCTCATTAGTATGCCAACGTCCAGGGGCTCATGTCTTCTCACCCCTATAACAAAAAAACAGAAACGCTTTCCCATTTTCGCATAATATGTCCACGATATGCGCGTATTGCTATTATAAAGACCTCCATTGATAAATACCGTGTATAGGTGGCATGCGCAATGTTTATGAAATTTAATTCCTGTGAACTTTCCTTTTCTTTGAATAGAATTGTATATGTGATTTAATTCCAGTTTTTATTATTGTTGTTCTTTTGGGTTAAAAATACAAAACATGTTTACTCCTTTACTGCTTTTTTTTGTTTTGGAGGGGGGGGGGCGTTTTTTTGTTTTTTGTTTGGGGGGGGGCAAAAATGCGTTTTGCCCCCCCCCCCCACTTTTTTGGTTGGGGGCAACTGCCCCCTGCCCCCTGCCCCCCCCCACTTCCGGCGCCTATGGTTGTGTTATATTCGAAAGCAAATGTGCCAACAAAATAAATAGGTTTACTGATTTGACTCCCCCCCCCCCAAAAAAAAAAAATAAATAATAATAATAATAATAAATAAATTAATAAAGAAAAATTGTGTTTTTCTGGGAGAAAGTATTTCTAAAATGCCTTTCCAATTTTTGTTCCTATTTACGCAAGTTATTCTTATATATATATATATTAACCTGTATTTACGTTAGTTCCCCAAAACATACATTCATCCAAGCGGATGTTAAAATGTGTTTTTTTTCCGTTCGTACTCTACGCAGATTATATATGTGGCTCGCAACCCCAAAGATGTGATCAACTCTTATTTCAATTTCCTGGGGGACACGCGAGCTTTTCATAACAAGCCGTTCGACAAAGTTTTAGAGGACTTCATGGAAGAAGGTGAGGTGATGAATGTTATAGTAACGATGATGGTGTTTAATAATATGCCTATGATAATCCATAATTAAAAATTCCTTTTCGTTTCGAGTAATTGAAGCGAGCAATTGAAGCAAAAAACTTAAACGAATCATTATTATCAGTACTTTTTCTGTATAATTTTCTCTTTTTTCCGAATTATTATATTTTAATTTTGCTCTTTAATCCGTGGACAGACAACTTCCGGTGGGGTTCTTGGTTTGATCACGTGATGGCTGCATGGAAGATTCGAGACGAGAAGAACGTTCTATTTCTCTTCTTTGAGGATGTGAAAAGGGTATGAAGGCTTAACATACACTTAACATTAATTAGATAAATTTTTGATGATGATAAAATAATGTGCTCGTTATCTCTTAACGCCATTACAATGACAAAATAGTACTTAACTAAGCAATATAACTCTGTAATATATTTTTCAGTTAATTACATATACCCCCATGCATTTCTTGTTAATAAAACTGACATTGTGTAACGTGAAATATGAATTATAAAAATAAACCGAACTGATCTGAACTGAACTGAGAAATGTAACACTGATTACAATCGGTTCTAGGACTCTAATCCCCTGGACAATCACCCCTCGGCCAATACCAGCGGGACAATTACCCCCCAAAGAAAATTACCCCCCCCCCCGCGGAAAACCACTCTCGAGAATAATTACCCCCGGAAAAAAAAAACCTAGGATAATTTCCCCTCCGAGGACAATTACCTCCGTTGACACCCCCGCCCACCCCCCCCCGAGGACAATAACCCCCCGAAAAAATTCTGCTTTTATTAAAACCAACTTATTATCAGGGTAGACTTCCACTTTAATGAACAGGGGGGGGGGGGGTGTTTGGTGTTTAAAGTCCACACGGCCCGATTCTTTGTGTATTACCAGCCGGACTTTGTAGCGTGAAAAGCACCCCATTACCGGAAATTTTGGAAACATGAATGCGGTCCCTCCGTTCCCGGAACGGGGGGGGGGGGGGCGGAGGGCCCGGGCCCCTTTTTGTAAAAACACGTGATTTTTATCTTTTTTGGGAGGTTGGGGGGTTGGGCCCCCCTGGCGTTCAAGGGGGGTGCAAATTTTTAAATTTTCGAGGACCAAAAAAAAAATGTGCTCACTACCCTCCCCCCCCCCCCCCCCCCCCCCCCCCCCACTTAGCGACTTTACGGCTGGCGCGATTTTCAAATTTTCGGGAGCAAAAAAAAAAAAAAAAAGTTAGGCCCCCTCCCCTAAGAAATCCTGGATCCGCACCTGGCCTCCCCTCCCCCTCCCGCATTTCTTTAGTCCTTCTCTCCCTCCTCCTCTTCCCACTCCTCCTCCTCCTGCTCTTCCTTTTCTACTTCTTCTCCTTCTTTCAAGATTCTTCACCCTTGTTTTTCACAAATTCAGGATCCAAAGAAATGTATCCAGCAAGTCGCCGAATTTCTAGGGGGTCCTCTCTCTGAGGAGGCCCAACAGCGAATATTGGAAAAGAGCTCATTTGAAGGAATGGGGCTGACCTACAAAAAGCTTGCAGACGATGCTGCAAAAAGCGGGAAGGCGGACCCAACGCGTATCGACGGAAAACGGGGCTACATAAAGAAAGGTACATGGAAAATTTGTGCAACTTCATATGAAACTTTATAGGTACATAATTTTTCTTTGAGTCGTTTTAAGATATCGAGTACAATTTTCTCGGAAAACGTCATCAATTCATAATCGTCAATTCAAATCATAATGAGGACAATGTACAGTGGCGGATCCAGGGGGGGCCGAAACGGCCGCGGCCCCCCCTATTGGCAGCGCAAAAAAAAGAAAAAAAGAGGAAGAAAAGAAGAGAAAAAAAAGAAAGGAGAAGAGAAGAAAAAAAGGAGAAGAGAAAAAAAAGGAGAAGAGAAAAGAAAAGAGAAGAGAAAGAAGAGAAAAGAAAAGAGAAGAGGAAAGAAAGAAGAGAAAAGAAACAGAGAGAGAGAGAAAAAAAAAGAGAAATGATAACGAAGAAAGCTCCCCCCCCCCCCCCCCCCCCCCCCACCCCCCCCCCCCCCGAATTTGTGTTTCCAAAATCTCCGAAAAAGGGTTACTTTTCACGCAACAAAGTCCGGCCCGTACTGATTTTACACACCGGAGATAGAGGGGTGCTTTCAAAGAGAGGGAACATAATTGCGCGTACCCTAGATAACACTGAGTGAGTGGGGGGGGGGGGGAGGAAATGGCGCTTAGTGACAGTAACAACGAATAAGGGAAAAACTGTAATCGGGAGATTAGGGGTCATTCCAGTAGGCTTGGCAAACGTCATTGAATAGAGGGGGCCGGGCCGGCCGCATATAATCTCGAGCCTCGGATTCAAAGTTAAACGTTAAAAACGGCCCCTGCGCTACAAAGGTCACCACTCTTTAGTGAGAAATTTGAAAAGGGCACACTATTTTGGATGTCTTTTAAATAGAAGCTATATACTCAACAGTCACATTTTTAATTAGCGGTAGGGCCGCTTCACAACTCTTATTTTGCCCTTCATTTGGATTCAGCTTATACCAACTCGCTTGTGCTTGTATTTGAACTCATGTTGGTAAAACCATGGATTTATCCATGGTTGGTGTAATAAATCTTTCATTTCTACTGGTCTAATTGTGTGCTATCACAATCATGATTGTTTCATTTTCCCTGTAAAGCAGGCGCGTAGCCAGGGGGGGTATAGGGGCAGTGAGAGAACATAAGACGAAAAAGGAGCAGACAAGGAAATATTTCTTGAAATTCTGACAAGTCGAGAACGGTACAACGAATCGTCTTCTTTCTCTAATAATTTAATGAAATGTCAAAGCTTCCGCGCTACGCGCGAGCGGGGAAAAACTAAATCCAAACAACGATATAGAGTCGAGAATGGAACAACGAATTATCTTCTTTCTTTAATAATGTAATGAAATGTCAAAGCTTCCGCGTTTCGCGCGGGAGGGGGAAAACTGTATTGAAACAAGGATTTAGAGTCGAGAATGGAACAACGAATTATCCTTTTCTCTAATAATTTAATGAAACGTCAAAGCTTCCGCGCTTCGCGCGGGAGAGGGGAAACTGAATTCAAACAAGGATTTAGAGTCGAGAATGGAACAACGAATCTTCTAATTCTTTCTCTAATAATTTCATTAAACTATGAAAGGTCAAAGTTTCCGCGCTTCGCGAGGAGGGGGAGGGGAACTGAATTCAGACAAAGAATAAGAGTCGAAAATGGCACAACAAATCTTCTTCTTTCTCTAATAATTAATGAAAGGTCATAGCTTCCGCGCTTCGCGCGAGAGGGGGGGGGGGGGTGACGAACTAAATTCAAACAAGGATTTAAGTCGAGAATGGAACAACGAATCTTCTAATTCTTTCTCTAATAATTTCATTAAACTATGAAAGGTCAAAGTTTCGGCGCTTCGCGCGGGAGGGGGAGGGGAACTGAATTCAGACAAGAAATAAGAGTCGAGAATGGTACAACAAATCTTCTTTCCCTAATAATTAATGAAAGGTCAAAACTTCCGCGCTTTGCGCGAGAGGGGGGGGGGTGACGAACTAAATTCAAACAAGGATTTAGAGTCGAGAATGAAACAACGAATCTTCTAATTCTTTCTCTAATAATTTCATTAAACTATGAAAGGTCAAAGTTTCCGCGCTTCGCGCGGAGGGGGAGGGGAACTGAATTCAGACAAGAAATAAGAGTCGAGAATGGTACAACAAATCTTATTCTTTTTCTAATAATTAATGAAAGGTCATAGCTTCCGCGCTTCGCGCGAGAGGGGGGGGGGGCGAACTAAATTCAAACAAGGAGTTAGAGTCGAGAATGGAACAACGAATCTTCTAATTCTTTCTCTAATAATTTCATTAAACTATGAAAGGTCAAAGTTTCCGCGCTTTAGAGTCGAGAATGGTTCAACGAATCCTCTCCTCTAATAATTTCATGAAACATCAGAGCTTCTGCGCTTCGCGCTTAATAGGGGGGAGGGGGGACAGCGAGCTGCCCGAATATGAATTTTTGATATCTTTTCTCGTTTATTTTCGTGATAAATAACACTTTCATAATATACATGTAAATATATAATGCTCAAATTTTTGCTCGATCGCTTCGCTCACTAGCCGAATTGTGAAACCAGAAAATTACTTTTTCAGGCAAGAGGCTATAGCCCCCCCCCCCCCCCGATTGAAATGACAAAAATTGTACCGGTATGGTGCTTCTAATATGACCTTGTAAGTATTAATATGTTGAGTTTTAAAAAAAGGTCTGCGCAATTTTCAAATTTCTGGCCCCCCCCCCCCCCTATTGGAAAATCCTGGATCCGCGCCTGATGTACATGTAATTCCATCACTTCAAGACATCAATCTATCGAATAAACTTTTAGCAGTGTCATATACTCAACTTGGTAACATTATATGTATTTTAAAACTGCTCTCTAATCTATATACCTATGACATTATAACGTCTCTGTAATTAGTCCATCGTGTATTATCTTCTTCTTGCCATGTCGGGTAAACATCAGCAAATCTATTTCTATAAGATTGAAATAAAGCAACCCATTCAAATTAATGCTACATCCGAGAAAAACTAGGAACCAAATTCATTTTTGGATGTTATTCCCGTCTGTAATATACCTCTCTCACACCCCCAAACACACTCTACACCGACTCCAAGCCGATCAATCGTTGGCAATTCGTGATATTATAGATTTCTTTCGGCATGTTGTCGGTCTGGTGTCGGTCTTGTTCGTGTGACTGGGGTAGGCAAATTATAATTTATTTATTTATTTATTATTTTTTTTTTTACATAACCACACTCTTGGTATTATTTCTATACTAGGGACGAGTGGCCAGTGGAAGAATCGTTTTACGGTGGCTCAGAACGAGACTTTTGACGAATGGTATCAACGAAAGAGAGCGGGAACAGATCTTGATTTCAGCTTTGAATGATAGGGAAAGTTTTAGCCCTTCAACTTCATAATCAGGTCCTTTCTTAGGGTGAAAACAAAGTCTCAATGTATTCATCAATGCAAAATATATGCAATCGGAAACCCTTTCACCCCATGCGGTTGAACAAATTTGCCCAAAGAGCCCTTTTTATGTTTTAGGGCCCACCATCGTTTTATGCACTGAAGAACAATTTTTTTGGCTGAACATTGTCGGTGCCACCGTTTAAAGCATCAACACCATTTTGTAATAATTTGTTTTAATCTAACAGTGATCAAAGGGCGACGAAAACAGTTGGTGATCAAACAAATGTTGGCTTAGGGTCAAATTTATCGAGTATCGTTACATGCCGAATAAAAGCGCCATTTTGGGTAAAGAACTTCCTTAGGACCTATTGAACGATATAAGGTTAGGAGCCCCCGGAAAACATTTCAATTTAATGGTGTTGGGGCAGGGCCGTCGTCTCGAAACTCCAAAATAAGGTAAAGTAACATTGATTTGTTGTTGGGCTGGGGCGTTGTTCCGGAGCCCCCATATCATATACAACGTATATTCATATTGATTGTTGTAGGACCTGTCGAGAGTTGCATAGATGATGCAAGAGCAACATAACAGAAGTAGATCAATCAGACACTCCCTCTTCTTGAAAAGGAGGAACTAAACAGCAAAGATGCTATCACATGGGCAGCATACCATGCATCTTATCAACCGGCGACGGAATACCCACCAGCTAAATCTGCACTACTACCTCCGTTATATGACAAGTCTGCTATGCCAGCGATGATCAAGCATGGGATGGACGTAAATGCAGAATCAAGTCAATGCCCTTTCTGTAAGCATCAGGCAAATGGGTAATCCATTTCTGGATGAGTTTGATGATCTGATAATGATTGACAGTCGCAAATGCACAGACAGAGCCGTTGTTACTGGAGGAGATAGTTCAGGAGAAAGTCAAGAAGATCAAAGTGATTTAGATCAATGTAGCACTATTTGGGCGACTCTACATAACTATGCAGAGTCGTGAGAGTGACTTAGATGAATTCTTCACACACGAGATACAGTCCTTCCCTCCTTCTCTCTCAGACTTTGGTAAATCTACATCTGCCAGGTACAAAGTCTAACCTGCTGCATTGTCTTGAGTAGCCTGACCAACCAGAGCCACCATCAGCATATTGCTGTAAAGTCTTCGATGGAGCTGTCATCGTCCACTGTCTGCCTGATATCGGCTTCAGTACATTTAATGGATACGCCAACGAAGTCTTCATTCCCTATCTCGAGAAGCAACTGTAGACTACAAAGAGAATAGATCTTGTGTGGGACACTTACATTCCAGACAGTTTGAAAGAGTCTATACTCGTGAAAAGAGAGAACTGGCATCTGTTGGAAAGTGTCTGGCCAGACCAAGCTTCCAGGCAATTGGATGGATTTTCTCTGTGACCCAATCATTCAGAAAGAACTGTTTGCCTTTCTTACATCCAAAGTGAAAGAGTTCCACTGGCCAATGGCAAAGAGGTGTTTGTCTAATCATGAGAAACTGTGTCATCTGTCATATCTAGCATCGACATGGAAAACTGCAATCACGAAGAAGCCGAAACGAGGATTGAGGTTCATATTTTGCATGCACTAGAGCAGGGAGCAAAAACTGTCCTGATGCGAACAGTAGTCATCCGTGTCGGCAAATTCTATGATCTCCTCAAAACTCAACCATTAACTGACAACTGCATTCGGTATGGGTAAGAAATACAGATACTTCCACATCAATGCTATTTGTGGGAGTTTGGGAGAGTCAAAGTCACAAGCCCTTCTTGTGTTACTACACTCATGTTCTGGTTGCGACACAACATCGGCATACTTTCATGGCAAGGGAGAGAAGTCAGTCTGGCAGGCTTGGAAAGTGTATGATGATGCCACAGAGACATTTGCTTGTCTATTATCTAGCCAAGCATCCAATCCACAATATGACCGTTTACTCTGAGCCTTCCTAGTTTCTTGAAAGGCTGACCGTTGTGTTGCACAACAAATAGACTCCATCAAACTCTACCAATGCGGAGACAAGAAGAAGCATCTTCTGCCAAAAAAAATTCGATCGATGGAGAAACTGCCACCCCCGCTGAACGCACTACTATGGCATGTAAAGCGGGCCGTCTATCAAGCAGGAATCTGGACTTTAAGCACAAAAGCTAATCAAAATGTTCCCTCTCCACAGGACTATGGACGGACCAAAGGATAGGGTCTTGGTTACCAGTGTGGATGACAATATCGGATGTCTCTAAAGAATGTCAGGAACTGGTCAAGTGTTCATGCAAAGGAAACTGTTTTACCTGAAAATATGGCAGAGCAAATCTGCTCCTACTCTACTATCATTCTGAATGTCCTAAGGGATCACTATAGCAAAAAATGGTGATTGTATAACAACAATCCATACGAATTTACCTTACATGTATATATCATTCGGGGGCTCCGGGACAACGCCCCCACCTTCATACACTTATAACAACAATTTGCCGGGGCTCCTACCTTTATATCGTTCGATAGGTCCTAAGAGAGCCCTGTACCAAAACAGGCGGTCGTATAACAACAAACCAATGTGATCTTACATTATAATTATATAACATGGGGCTCCGGCACAACGCCACACCCCTAATCACACATATGTGAATATTATGCCGGGGGCTCCTAGCCTACCATCATTCAGCATGTCCTAAGGAAGCCCTGTACACAACATGGCGTTTGTACAACAAAAAAAATCAATGATATAATAGTACCTTATACATTTGGGGGGCTACGAGGCGACAACCCCGCCCCCACACACTTAGAGGAAATCATTGCCGGGGGATCCTACCCTAATATCGTTCAATAGGTCCTAAGAAAGCCCTGTACCGAAAATGGCATTTTTATAATAACAAATAAATGTTACATTAGCTTCTAAATTATTTGGGGGCACCGAAACGACGCCCCCACCCTTATATTAATTTTTTGCAGGGGGCTCCTAGCGTAATATCGTTCAAAATGTCCAAAGGAAGCCCTGTACCAAGAATGGCGCTATTAGCCGGCATGTAACGGTAATTTCACTAAGCCACGTGACTATCTTTTGTTCATGATAGTTTCTTGATTTAGATCTAGCGAAAACTGATCTCCTTTGGGATAAATTTTGAATACTCCCCATACCATATTTAAAGGAGTTTTTCATGTAGTACGTCATAGTATTTACAGAAATATGAATGATACAACGTTGCTATTATTATCCTTGTTTGGTTGACGAGTGTTTACGCCCCAGAACGATGAATACATCCTGAAAGCCTGGAACGAAAATACCATGTTTGTTTGCTTATTATTATTATTATTATTTATTTGACCAATCGGAAAAACATACAGTGAGTATAACAATCAGATAATACATGGACATTTCATAATACATTCAAACAGCTTTAGGAAAGTGGAGAAGAGAAAGAGAGAAGGATACAATCTGCTGGTCAGGGGTGACAAAAGCAATTTAAATTGCTATTACTCGAAAGCATGTCACCCCCACAGTCTGCATCCTGGAAAATTAAGAGTAAAGAAAGAACAGAATAAAAATTTACAATATGAGAAAATATATAAATATATATATATATCAGGGCCCCGTCTTACAAAGAGTTACGATCGATCCAAATCAATCGTAAGTCCTCCAATCAATCGCAAGTTTGCAGTCTCCTATCTCTTATGTACATAGTTACGATTGATATCAATCGCAAATAAGTTACGATTGATATCAACTCTTTGTAAGACGGGGCCCAGGACATCAATAGTTGGAGCAATTACTATTATATCCTTGATTACTTTCATTACATTATTATGTCATTACAATGGCTTTACGTTCATCACATAGATATAAAAACTTTCAAATCAATAATCTGGTGCTTACATTAGAAACATTTGATATGATTATTATTGGGAAGGAAAGTTACGTAATGGTATAAAATGATTAACAATAATTTCTAACTTTCAAAATGAAATGAATACAATTGTAATCTGAAGCCTGTATGTACTGAACGGAACGAAGAAATGAGCTTGCAATATTGATATTATTTCTATTATTTTCTAAGTGACAAAATAAACAAATTAGTCAGTTATGATCTAGGTAAGATGTATAATTAATCTTAGGGTTTCTACTACTACGTACGGAACTTAAGTACGACAACCACTTCTGATGTTGTTGCTGCTACTACTATTTTTTAAATACTACAATCACTTTCATTGAAATACTGATAACCATCTCTAGATTCGTACATGACTGCTACTCGTTTGGGATCAAGTCATTCGTCCTTAGATTAATAGTCAGGGTTTTGGTCAATTCATCCCAGAAATATTCTTGTCCTCTCATGTCCTCAGTCCAGTGGATATAGGGTCTGCCATCGTTGAGGTACAACCTCGCCAAGAACGGCATTTCATCATCAGGGATATCTTCAAGGAAAACCACGACTACGAATTCAGTCAGAGTGTCACTCACGTGATCCATGGCCGTACGGAACTTTAGTATGAACCAGCGGTCTTGCACAGCAGCTCTGCTAAGCACTATGATGGTCTTGTAACTATGGCTCACCACGTAATCGACGGAATCTAAGTAATGCATACCCAATACAAGGTCGTCGTCACCGCAGACGTTCCTCTGAAACTGTGGTAGTCGTTCTTCGAGAGCCGGTCGGAGCTGTTCGCGAATCCACTCTTCGTCATCGTCGTAGAAAATGATGTTCACGTCAAACTCGTATTCATTGTGGTCTCGAGCGTCTCGCATCTCTTTATAGCCCACTGCGGCCAGTTTCAGGAGAAATAGTTTGTACCTCAACTGCCATCGGTAGTGATACAACAGCACGCTGATTACAACCAAGCCAATGGAGGCGAGGGGAATCAGAAACAATAGACCATTTATTATACAGAGTTCATTTGGATCAACATCAAGCAGGGGTTTCTCACGAAAACGCTCCAGAGATTCTGACGAACAAATGGTTTTGTCCTTGTCTATCAGGGTACGTATAGGTTTATTTATCCAATCAATTAGCCACTTTAGATCACAGTTACAATCAATTGGGTTCATTGATATATCAAGTAAAGAAATGGAGGAAAAGATCGGCTTGAAAGTCCTTCGATTAAGGTGGGTTAATTTGTTGTCGGCCAATGAAAGATTTGTGACTTTCCACTTATTTGAGAACATTAGCTCCCCCAAGTATTCGATCTGGTTTCCTTTAAAGTTGATACTGTTTATTTGACCTAACCCTGACAATGCATCATCATGAATATGTTGGATGTTGTTTCCCTCCAAACTCAACTTCTGCAGCGATTCCAAACCCGAGAAGACAAGAGGATGTAGATTTGTAATAGCGCAGTATTCTAGATTTAGCTCTTGTAAAACAGAGAGTTGCCGGAATATCGCTGGCGGGAAAAAACTCAGGAAAGGGTTACTACTCAAATCCAAATGATTAAGATACAATAGTCCATCGAAAAGAGACGCATTTCTATCCTCATTCCATATGATATGTATTCTAAGCCGAGAGTTTTTCATGTCTAAATTAACAAGGGATTGTAAATGTTGAAACGAGCCAGGTCCGATACTAACCCCGATTTTGTGTCGATCAAGAATGTTTAGGAAAAGTGATCTTAATATTGGGGTGTTCAATTCCAGACTTTCGTGCAATTGACTTCCGGACAAATCAATGATTTGAATATTGTCAAGTCCCGAAAAGGCCGTCAGCTCAAAGACAGAAAGTTGTCTGTTAAAGCTTATGTTTAAGAAAGTCAAATTTCCTAAACCCCGAAATACAGATGCAGATATTTCTGTAATCAGATTACCGGATAAGTCCAATTCCAATAAGTCCACCGTCCAAATCTGATTTTGGGGATTTATTTGTGTTACTTGGTTGTCGTTGATTATCAGTACCTTTAATGCCTTCATGCCCTCGAAAAAGTCTGGTTGAATTTTGAATATGGGGAGATAGTTATAACTGATAGTTAATTTTTTGAGTTGTGTTAAACTTGAGAAGACTAAAGGATGGAGGCTCAGGTAGTTGCTGTGGAAGTCCAGAAGAGAGAGAGAAAAATCGCGCAGTGGATCAAAGAAACCTTCAGGAAACGCACCAACAGAGCCTTGCTGGATTGTAACCCCTTCGATGTCTGATTTTGAGATTCCGAGGATGATGTTCGCTAACACCTCGTCACTCAAACGGCAGGCACCCAAATTTAAAAAGCGAACATGTAGTGATGCGATCACATCAGGGTCTACTGATTGGATAGGGTTATCTCTAAGATCCAGAATATCAGTGTGGCACACAAAGGTGAAATATTCAGCCGTAAGGTGTTTTAGTTGATTAGAAGTCATGATAACAATGTTGGCATGCATGCCACAAGAACTTACATTGATGGAGGAGAGCCGGTTGCGGAACAGAATAACAGTATCTAGATGTGGACTCCATTTTAGAGTGTCGTTGGGGAGCGACGTCAAGTTTGTTTCCGTTAAATCGAGAAAGGAAAGCTGTGAAGACATCATAAAGACGCTTGTTGCCGGAAGCACAATACGCTGGTTATAGAATAGAGATAGATTCATTAAGCCCTTGAGGGGGTAAAAAGCGGCGGATTCTATCACTCTTATATCGTTAAAAGAAATGTCCAAGGAGTTGATCAGAGGGTATACTTTAAACGAGGAGTTCAAGAGTTTGGTGATAATGTTATAAGACAAGTCAAGCACCTTGGTATCCCCAGAAAGATTCTGGGGAACCGTCTTCAGGCCTTTATTGCTGCAATAAGCTTTTTTCAGGTCAAGGTTCTGATCGCATCCATGGTAAGATTTGTCCATGTCCATTGTTAAGGATGTCTTAGCCGAGTCTGGCTCGCGTCGATGTAAAGACTGGAAGGACATGCTGATGAGAAAACAAGCGACAAGCAATGGGTACAAGATTGAGCCGTTTGCCATGACGTCAAGATATCACCTCTGAAATAAGAAGGGTACACCGGTACCTTTGTCGGATGATAATGTCGTGGGAAAACTTTCAATGAAGGAAAGTGTAGACGTGGTGTATTTTTAGTTCATCATTTTATTTTGTCATCAGACGAAACCAAAACAAAGACCTGCAAGAAACAGGAGAATATCAATCAATTAATACTCTAGTTATTTATAATATCGATGAATGTAAATAAACATCTTTCGTTGAATTACAATCAATATTGTCATAACATAAAATATAAGTTTCATCAGCTAGTAACGCTGACACATTACCCATTAAACATCGGAAGTCTGTATCTACATCCACAGACCACAATAGAATAATTCAGTCAGAACTTCGGGAACATCATCATTATCACAAAATTACAGGCAAATCCCCTTTCATTCTCAGTAGCCACCATCATTATCCTCTGATAACAATGCCTCCGTCTTAAAACACATCAAAGACAATTTAGAATTTGGAGCTATTCAATCAGAATTACCTACTATGGTAGAATTCCTATCAAATAATATATTAATTGAAACAGTAGAATTAAAATGATTAAACCAAATTCAATTCTTATATGAGTCATTTCCAATTTAGATTCTTATAGAAAATATGATGTTCCATGATAGAATAGTCAACAAATGTTACCAGTGTAAAGACACATGATTAAAAGCATATTTAATGGGATTGCTTCCAGAGAAAAATAACTAATATACAATGTTACTTTTACTGAACTACAAGATTACTGTGATATTATAGTCATCTTGAGAAGAAACCTGCTTTATGATTTATGCTATACAATTCTCAAAATTATTGTAAACATCAAGACCAATTTTAAGTATCAGTGAGTGTGAATGATTCATACCTAATTCAAAATGCTTACACAAGATCGACATCATCCTGGCATGAAGCCGATTTACTAGGAACTTAAATCACCCAAGAAGATAACCATCATTTCCCATGGCCGATTTTGGTTTTGTTTAGAGTCAGGGACGGATCCAGGGGGGCACAGGGGGCAAGTGCCCCCCGGCCAACAAAAATATGTGAAAATCAGCCCTAAATTCGCCAAAAATGCACTATAAAACAGGGACGTGCCCTACATATATATATATATATATATATATATATATATACAATGGCTGACCTAAAAAGATGGCCTTAACAAAATAATATTGTACTTGCTTTCTATATCAGCTGAATGTACAGTATGAAGCAAAATGACCTTTTAAAGTTCTCGGAATTCCCGCCCCATATAATTGTATCATATGATTTAAAAAATAAACCATTTTGGCCTTTGTAGTTAGGGGAAAAGTTACAACAAAATAAACTATAGGCATCTTCAAAAAATAAAAGAGTAAATGCATTAAAATGTGAGGAATGTATGTCCATTCTGTCACTCTGAAGTTATCACACTAATAAATGAAATAAGGAGCAGATAAGACACGTTGACTATAAAAAGTAAATAAAATTAAAAAAATTGTATAGTTAAAAACCTAAATTAGTCATAGATGACGTAACAACAAATACAATAAAACATTAACAAAAATATAATAACAATGTTCAATGAAATGAAAATGTTACATTGATTTTTTAATAATTATCGGGAATAAGATCATTAAATTTCAGCACATAGGATTTGGGGTTATCAATTAACAGTAGTCTGTTTTAAAAGAAAACAAAAACAAAAAAGAGGCATTTCATGGCGACGGTTAAACTGTTTGATGTGACAGGGAGTGGAGGTTGTGCACACAGTGTGTGCGGGCAAGCACTGAATCCAAAGACCGGGGTAATTTTGTAAAGCGCTTAGAGACATTATATTAAGCGCTACAAAGCTAAATATTCAAGATTCAAGATTTATTCATTCCATTCAATAAAAAACATAAATGTATATAAAAGATATTACAAATGCAAAAGAGAAAGAAATATAAGTTATACAAGTTACAAAAACATCAGAAGGTCAGTGGTAAAGAAATCAAATGGAGTTTGGGTCACTGCAAAAGTTCAAATAAATTTGAACTTGTCGAGGCTGTACCAAAGGTTTGAATTAAAATATTTTTGCAATGGATAACTATGAACATAAATAATTTACTGGACAATAAAACAATACAAAAAGAAACAAATATATATATATATATATACATATATATATATATATAAGTGAAGAAGGAACAAAAAATGGAAATTCTTTTTATCACATAAAATAGTATACAGGGGTTACGTACTTGCTAATAAATAACATTTGAGTTTCCTTTTAAATCCATGAAAAAAATTCTAGTTTGACATATTTCCTGAGGGAGTGCATTCCAGACAAGAGGTGTGTTATGTTTAATAATAATTATTATTATTATTTCTTGAAGTATTTCGAGAGTAACTGTTCAATTGTTATCCGACTGATGTTAATACACATTTTCGTCATATCATGGGAAAGCAAATTTGAAATGAAAAGCATTAAATTATAATCTTAATGTGACCAGCAGGATCGACACAAAACCTGAGTTGCGTTTTTCCCAAACTCTGGGGGGTGGGGGGAGACCGGTCAGAGGTTCCCATAGCAATCAAGCCCATGGCCTGCCTACACAATGCTGAAACATTTTAGAATGACAAGTGACATTTTCATTTCAATGAAAATTACCGGTATATGCTTTATATATTAAATGGATATGGTTTATATACATTTTACCTATAGAAATAGAACTACTTTTGTATTTTTCAGTTAATATATATATAAATAGGCTATTGCTTGGATCAAAAAAGTCTATAGGTAACGAGTCAAAAATAATATATTATACTCACTGTTTACCTTGATCCTGCTAAATGCGAAATGAATCGTGTAATGAAGCGTCGAGTCTTCTCCTCAGAAAAATATATCAAATTGTAGCCGAGATAAAAGGATTCACACATAATTTTACCCAGTTCAAATAACAGTAACTGGCAACAAGTGACATGAGAGGTCTCTTCTAGAACGTGTTATGAAGGCGTTAACAATGTCTCTTTCGCAAGATATAAGGAGAGTTTTCTCTGGGTCTTGAATCCCGTTTGCCAGATGCCAAACATGCAGTTCGTCGAATAAAATGATCTAGAAATTAAATGTGCTTCGTTCCACCAGATTTTCATGTAGAAGTGACGGATAACCCGTATGAAATGAAAGACGAAGGCTGCATGAGTCTGTATTTCACCGTCTGGTGATGTGTTAGTTGGATCATGTGGTCCGAAAACGAAACCAGAGAAACAAACATATAACTACAGCTAAAGCCCCCATCACACCAAACTAGTTCTCACTACGTTCTGGAACCGTCCTAGAAAATCGTAAAAACGGGTTATGGTCGGGGTAGAATGTGTATAATGTCTATAATACGATCTTAGTTTGTTCATAAACAGTCCTCAATACGTCCATCTCGTCTGTACCCCGTCCACAGTTAGTTCAGATCAGGTAAATTTGCCATTTCTAGGCAGTCCAAGCCAGTCCGTAGTCGGTTTAAACTCATTATTAACTAGTTCTAACTCGTTCCCAATACGTTTAAACCCATTTTTAACTAGTTCGCCACTGTCTTAATTGTTCTAACTAGTTTGTAACCCGACCACCTCGTTCAGAGACAGTTCAACTCGTCCTCATCTCGTTGTTAGTGCGTTCGAACGTGCTCCTAGAGTGTGTGCAATCCCGCCCTGGCTCGGGGCCCCGCCCCCCCCCTCCCCCCACTCAGTGTTATTTAGGGTACGCATAATGCTTGTTCCCTCTTTTGGAAAGCACCCCCTATCTGAGGACTGCCAACATTTCGGAACCCCCCTTTCGCGGGCTTTTCGCGGGCTTTTCCTGCCTTAAAGACCCCCCTAAATCATGAAAAATGCTCGATGTATCCCCCTCAATTCGGAATCATTTCTCAGGAGTCCAAAGGGATGAGAGAGAAAAAAAAAACCTTTTTAAAGAAATCTCCGGGTGAAAAGTTAATACACCCCTTTTTTTACAATTCTCGGGCCGGACTTTGTCACATAACACGAAAAGTACCCCTTTACCGGACATTTTGGTAACACGCATATGGTCCGTCTGTTCTCGGAGTGGGGGGGGGGGGGGGGGGCGGGCTCGGGGCCTATCTGAACTTGAGTGTGGACGGGGTACAGACAAGTTGGACTTATTGTGGACTGTTTATGAACGAACTTGGGTCGTGTCATAGACATAAGTCCAATCTGAGCCCGTCTATGAAGTCCTTAAACAGATCGTAAACAGTTGCTACTACGTTCAACTCCGTTCGCACACAGCTTGAGCCCGTTTGGCAACATTTTCGAGAACTTAGTGAGAACTACTAGTGTGGTGTGATTGGGGCTTAACCAACCAAACAACAGAATACATGATCTCTCACCCAGTGACTCGGTCCTGATGGGCATTATGATGCAAAAAATATCATGTGATGAAGTGGCCTGGGCATTCCGCTCAAAGTGGAAACCTTAGTCTGTTCCCAGACAGAAAATAAACTACTTTAAATGACGATTGGGTGGGGGGGGGGGGGAGAGGAGACTTCAATACAATGATAATATCAACTGCCATTGAATCTCAGTACTTTTCCCACATTTACATCTACTACTCTATCGAGCTAGACAATTCTAAAACTTCTGTTGAAAATGTAAACATGTTACCAGCTTTCTCTCTTCTGCTTCTCCCATGCCTTCTCTCTCTCTCTCTCTCTCTCTCTGTGTGTTTGTCTGTCTGTCTATTTGTCTCTCTCTTTCTCTCTTTTCTCTCTCTCCATCTATATCATATATATACACTGTATATCAGTGGCGTACGCAGGATTTTTTCAAGGGGGGTGTTTTAAAATTCAAATTTTTGCAACGACTCAGCCAGCCGTTGAGGGGGTTTGAGGGGGTTAACCCCCCCCCCCCCCGCCCCTTCAAACGCGCCTGCTGTATATCCCCTTCCTGCTACTCCTCCTTTCTTCAACACCTCTCTTATACCTCTCTTCTTTAATCCCTTCATTCTTGTTTTCTCACTTTCTTCACCCATTTCTCCTCATGCCTATTTCTCTTCTCCTTTCACACTTTCTCTTTCTCCTTTTTCTGATATATCAACAAAATATATGAGTGTTTCAAACTCCTACGCATTCTATTTTTTTTTTTTAATGCTGACAAGCTTTATGAAACTGGAGCCTGTATCCCTTCCATTGTCTATTAATGTGAGCACTTGAAGAAAACTTTAGAACCTCAAGATTTGAGATAGAAATTGAGAATAAATACGAGTACCTGAAAACTAGCAGCCACTTGTCTTTTCAAAACGAACTTACGAAAGATAGTTATGGAGTGAGAGGGATTTTCCTCTTACAGCCAGGGAAATTTAGGACATTATTTTATTTTTAAATTTTTGCAATAGGCCTATATTTCCATTTTTGAGAAATACATTGACATATTGTGCTTTTGACCCTTATCAGCAACAACAACAGTTATTGTGATATCTGGTCGAATTAGGAATAAAAATGTTTAATACCTGGCTTTCCCACTAAACTATTCGAATGTAGATTGAGTTTCTCATCATAACTGAGTTTATTAAATTCTTGGTGTGTATTGGATCATCTTCGCTTATTTCTTTCAGTCTCTCTCTCTCTCTCTCTCTCTCTCTCTCTCTTTATCTCTCTCTCTCTCTCTTACTCTCTCTCTCTCTCTCTGATATCTCTCTCTATGTCTGTCTCTCATATAATTACAGCTATACGTCTCACGTTCCTAAACCATTTTCTTCACGCCTATATACTTCCTGCCCCCCTCTCTCTCCCCCCCCCCCCCCCCCCCCCCCCCCCCCTCCCCCCCCCCCACCCCCCCCCCCCCCCCCCCCCCCCCCTCTCTCTCTCTCTCTCTCTCTCTGTTGACTCAAGTTCCGCAATGAGAATTTTGAATTGAGGGGTCGAGCGGGGAGAGGTTTTGTTTTGTCATTATATTGTACCCACCGGTGAAATTTCTGGGAAGAAACCATCTCAAATCTAAAATCAGGCGGGAAATGTAAATTAATGACAAGGAATACACATTTTTGGGTGCATGGGTCCTAGCAGACGTCGCTCGGGGGAGCTATCAGGGAGGAAGTGATGGTGTTGTATTAATAAACAAAATGAATGGGGTGGCTCGATCCGTAGCTGCCCTTGTCTTACTCACTCTTAACATGCAGTCCCATCCTAGCCTTTTCCAGCCTGAACTACTTATCCAAACATTGATAGCCACATGTGTGTGTGTAATTGATATTTTACAGACGTGTATCAATCAGGTATGATTATTTACGTCTGGGGACCTTCTTTTAGCGTCACAATCCGAAAGACGTGACTCTGCGTCCTCAGCTAAGTCATTATTTTTGTAACTTCCATTATAAGCTGGATTACAGGCGCACGCCACAAAACCCCGTTGTGGCGGATCCAGGGGCGGATCCATGGGTGGGGGGGGGGGCCTCCCCTGACCAAAAATAGGTTTAAAGAAAATAAAAATGGTGCTCAAAGGGGGAAGGGTGTTGAGTAAAAAAAAATTAGAGCTCCATATCCCCCGCCCCCGTTGAGCAAAAAAAAGTATCATCGATCGTTTAATGCGACTTTACCACCCGCTGCCATAGGAGCCTATTTTACTTGTGTTTTTTTAGAAATCCATTGACATATGAATTATATAATGATTATTATAGTGCTGAAAATGGTACAGATTTTCAAAGCAGTAGGATATGCATGAAACTAAAACATTTAGGATTTAGGGTGCAAAGCAAAGGGTACCACTACTTTATCGGGCCCAGCTAAGCTGGTCTTTAATGTTTTAATGTCCTTAAAGATATAAACCGGTGGTGGTAAAATTGCGGTTCGAGGGTTGTGGGTGCAAGATAATTATATTCAATATTGTTAAAATATTACCTTCAGTGGTTTAGATGGCAATACTTAAACCTAAAAACCTTGGCAAAAAAAAACAGAAATATATGCCCAAATGTTCAATGTTGAACTCCATTCGCGATATCTATCCCGGCCGGATTGATATGATAATTATTTACCAAAATATATCGATTAGTAGGCGGTTTCCCGGCAAAATTTGTATCATCACGTACTAGTCAAAGCATATTCTTTTACATTATTGTTAATAAGAGCTTCCATTTCATTTTTTGAGATGGGGTTGTTTCCAAAACTGGTCATATACCTTTAATGGTTCGTTTTATTTTTTTTTCTCTTCAGAGCGTAACCCAATTAATGATGATGACTGTAATGTCTACAAAAAATAAAAACACCCAAAATCATATAAATTAAATTTTGCATAATATGACAGTGCTTTTTAGCAGCGGCGACGATCCCGGGGGATGGAGGGGGAAGACACGTCCCCCTCAACAAAAATTGTATAGCAAATAAAAGACTGCGACTGACAGGACGGTCCAAGAGTGCAGCGTTAAGCTAGACCAGGGAGGTGAAAGAAAGGAGTGGTAACTCTTGTAATTTATTCAAACGCATTCGTGAGTTCTAAAGCGTAACAATGCATGTGTAACATTCCACTTGGCTTTGAAGTTCCATGTTCCGCGCTTCCACTGCGGGGACTTTCGGAAGCCAGGCACCAGTTTTACATTTATTACAAAATATTAAATTACCGGCAAAATTTCAGTGTAAATCAAAAACTTTACAAGCGGATTGTATTAATTTTCAAATTTAGTACTCCGTCCTTCCTATAATTTGTGTGCCAGAGTTGGTAAAAGAAAAATTACATCCTGACAAAAACTCAATATTTTAGGATAATGCGCTAATTTGTGCTATTTTAATGTCCCGTTATTTTATCCATGATTTACAATCTTCAATAACATTAAGTTGGCTAATGCGTGTTTTCGTGTGTGTTTTTTTTTTTATAGTTTTGAAGTTAAATAAAGGATGTAATTACACAAGTTTGAGTTCGCTTGTTCTACTCTTTACACATTCAACAATGGATGGGAAATCGTTGAAAGGGGTGGCGAGCAATTGCTGTAATACCATTTTCTGATCGATGTAGGAATTCTAAATCCTGAAATTTCATGCGCTCTTTTATCTCACCACCTGGTCAACAGTTGTAGATTAGCGCATATCTTTTAGACGGCTTGGAGCATGGGGTCAAAGGAGAGCGACTTGATTCCAGTCCTTCTCTATCACGTCCCTGGTATCACGTAGGCACAGTTTACACTATAATGCTCCCTCGTCTCTCACATTTCGCCCCCTCCCCTCTGGTCATGAAAAGAAATCGCCTGGCCCCGTGGACACATCCATAAAGATAGAATTGGATCCCAATACAAACTTTTGTTGTATAAAATTTTCCTTAGGAGAGCGTCCGGGTGGCGTCATTTTTTTCTGCGGCACAGATTGGGGCTTTTTTTTCTTTTTTTAAAGAGGTCTTGATTTAACCCTAACCCTAAACTTTCCCATAGGCTCAACACGCACCTAACCCCAATGTGTGCCGCAGAAAAAAATAACGCGTCCGGGTGTCCGCCCCAGGACCCCCTGCGAGGGCTCTGCCCCTTGACCCCACCAAAAGGGCTAGCACACCCGTTGAATTCGCCCCCCACCGCCTCCGAAAAATCCTGGATCCGCCCCTGTTATGGTTATACACGTATTATTACACCTGAACATCGAACTTTGACACCTGGGCTGACCGCAGTATTCGGTCAACTTCTACTACAGCCGTGTATGTAGAGTTCTTTGAAATCAACAAGTAACGGCTGCAATTCAGGCAAAGCTTGACCAGGGAGCTAGGGGATAACCTTCCTGGATTGACCCACACTTCCTTTTGTTTCTTTATACTCGACTCGCGAACTTCCTGTCTGTTATTACGTAACAATTAACTGTATACAATATGGCCCTTTAGTAACAAGACGGAAGGCAAAGAGGACGGGAGAATTCACTCAACCGAGATCAAATAATGTATGCAGTTCGGATTCTGTCTTTTGAAATATTCTTATTCTTATCAGGTGAATGAAATAAGTTGTATTGAGGCACTTCACAAAGACTTATGCATTAAACTTGGCAAAACGGACTATATTGAACCCCTATTGAAAGGCCTACATGACTTGTGCTCAGACGGCAATCTCTTCAGCGGTATTGCTGTATAGTGTGTTCACAGAATAAAACTTCTAACTTCTCGCCAACTTCATTATTACTGGCAAATTCATTGACAGCCTGATCGCTAGCTGTATATACGGTGCATACAGGTAAGCATAATTTCCTGATCTTTTGGCGAAACTTCTTCTTTTACATTGTAAAAGAGAATTAGGTCTAGTACTTATATCTTGTGTCAAAGTCTCAATCCGCCCCTTATATGCCATTGTAGCGCACAATATACGATCCTCCTAGTCTACAAGCACAAACCCTGGCCAGTCATAAAAGAGAGTCTACACTATAAGACCATATAGGCCATGTACTGTAACTGCTCCTGACACAACTAGTAGGTAACTGGGCTAGGCTTCTCTCAAGGCACAATGATTTGTTGATGAAGTGTCAAATTAGGGTCTGTGCTTGCAGACTACGATCCTCCTGCGATCCGGTTTTCCGAAGAAATGACAAATACATTAGATATATGGACTATGGACATGTGAACAAACATTATCTTCCCGCTTTTATTTTTTTAGTGATGATAAAAATACCATCAACCTGAATTTTAGTGCACCGAAGCCTTCTAGTCAGAATTAAAGCTGAATCGGCTTCAAATGGTAGACAATTGCATAAATAGCCTAACGTACATCACGACAACTCTGAGCCGATTTAGCTTTTCCTTCTCCATAGAAGCTCAAAGTTGCGCCGTTCAGTACACCATACTTTATAGCAGAAATCAATCATAAAGGATAATACTTTGTATCTTGTTGTTAGAATGGAATCTAACATCGACGAATTGCCCCTTATCATGGGCAACCATGTGCACAAAGGCATCCGGTATCCCAACTCCGTTCTCCCGTCAACTATTGATGCTATGGAAACATTCGAAGTTCGCCCCGATGACATCTTCGTCAACACTTATCCGAAATCAGGTATGAGTACGGCCACAACAGCCCACGAGACTAACAGTTCCTGGACGACAACCTCGAGACCGACAGACAATCAGATAAGCCGACCCATGAGACCGACAGCCTATACGCTCTAAAAAAAAATCGAGTGATCACTGACGTGACTCCTCTGGAGAGTGAAAATGTAGTGAAAATAGAGTGAACCTTCACTATTTTCTTCTTAGAGAGCACTCTAAAATCAATCGATATTCACTCTTAAACAAGTGATCACTGACGTGACTCCCGGGGGAGTGAAAATAGAGTGAACATTCACTCTTTTCTTCTTAGAGAGATATGAGACCGACAATAAGTGACTGAGACTGACAGCCTAACGGGCCTTCTAAAAACGTTTAATTTTGTTGGGGGAGGGGGAGGGTCACAAGATGGACGTCACTGGACAGTATTGGTTTTTGGCTTGTCGGTCTCTTGACACTTCAGTCTCTAAGATGTCGATCTTTCTACGTGAATGTCCCGTTTGGCTATTTAAAAAATATATATATTCTACTTCATTTAAGGTCACGTAGTGGAATAGAAATTTAAATAAATAAACTAGTTGAATATGGTTTCCCGTGTATTTATATATATTGATATTCATGATTTCTGATCAGGTGAATTTCATTGTAAATATATATCTACAGCTTGTAGACAAAATTTTGTTAGGGAATATCTTGGCAAATCTTGGCAGGTACCCATTGGATAATGGAGATCATCGGGCTCATTCTCGCCGATGGCTACCCGGACAAAATCGACCGGACCCTTTGGTCATCTTGTATTGAGATGATCAATATTGGTATCAACAAGCTACCTAAGACGAGAGCAGAAGAGTTGACCAACCCGATCAACATGACGCCATTTCTGGACGTGGTGGTGAAGGCGCCTTCCCCGCGAGTGATACAAACTCATCTGCGCTTTAAGCTGTTGCCAACGAATCTCCTGAAACGCGCCAAGGTAATCCATGTGACATGCTATCCACATATTCCAAACAATGTTCCTAACGAATCAAGTCTGTCTACTAGTTTAGCTGATAATTTTTTCATTTTCATTTATTTTTTCAACACCGTAAAAGAACACGTATCATGATTGTGATAGCAATTATGTTCATTAAATGTATCAATGTCATAATTTAATTAAACCTTCCTTACAGTGGATGATGTACTTCACTGTGTTTCCATTTGTTGCTGTGGTCAGCGCGAAGGCCCTCATCATGATATTTAAGAGGCGGTCACCTTTTCACAGTGTTTCACATCATGGAGTAGTTGAATGTTTGATGGGGTCAAATCTTCGTGTATATTATAAGGCCGGTCCCTGTGTCTTTTAGTTGTCGGCGATTGCGAATCAGGAGCTGTCTTGTGCGATATATATTAAATAATTTTGTCAGCAGAGTTTGACAATAATACTCATCAACGCCTGTTCAGCATCTAGATGAGGGTAAAGCACAGAGTTGTTATATACAGCTCTATGCGGAACAGTTCCTGAATGGGGAAATAAATTGTTTCAAGAGCCACCTTGAACTGCTCCAAAGAAGGCAGTTCGACGATGATCTGAGGTAGCTCGTCCCAGTCCTTAAGTGTCCTGGGGAAATAACTAAATGTTTAAGTGTCCATTGATCGAAGAGCCTAGTCTTATATATCGTAGTTGTTGACTCCTCCTTGTAGTTCGCTCCCTCGGTTTGATGTAATCCGGTATTGGTATCGCAATTTTGTTATTTGCTTTCTTGTAGAACATTGACAAAAGAGGACGGTAAAATTATGCTTATTAGACAAATAAATTATGACAAAAGTTTTGCCTCTACAAAAAAGTAACATTATACATTCAAAAGGTATTTATTCTACACATGCCTTTCTCGGTCAGTATTTATGTATTTAAGCGCAAACTGAAGTTACTGTATTTGAGTCGATATCGTCTAGATTTATAGTTGTGATCAATATTTAAGAAAATTATTTGCTATATAGGTCAGCATAATTCTACTCCCGTTTCTAACATCCATTCATCTGTCTGTCTTGTTTAGTTTTTGTCTGTATTTCATTCCTGTTGCTCGTAGTATATTCCTGTTCCAGTTGTTTATAGCCATTATTTAGTACTCAGTAGATTTTATTGTACTTATTTATGTTTAATGTTTTATCAGTTGTTTAGTTAGTATTAGTTTTGTTAGCATTTAAACGTACACATTATTCTTATCTGACGAGTTTGTTCTTTTAGGACATACTCATGAACTACTCATGAGGGACCTTAAATTCACAAGCCTTGCTTTCAACCAAGGTCACCTCATCTTTCTATTGTAAGCCATATTATGTTCACTCTTTTATATTCATGTCATATTTGTAATGTGTGTTATGAAAGAAAGATATATAAACTTGAAACTTGAAACTTGAAACTTGAAACTTGAAACTTGAATCACGTGTAGTAAGTTGCAGGTATCTAATTATTGGAAAGAATTCTTTTTGCACAGCAGCGGTATAACCTTCAGCCAAAATGGAATTAACATAAGTTTCATGAGAATCACGCTTTTTTGTTTTGTTGTAATATTCTTTATTGTATTCACTCAATAAATAATATTAATTCATACAAATTGTAATATATAACATATTGAAACCAATTACAGAGTACAAAATACAGTAATCTCAATTATATTGAATGAATTAATATTGTTATAACCCCCCCCCCTCTATATTTTGTTCTGTAGTACTAGTATCTCTATTACATATTATAATTTATAACATATTGGAACAAAGTACAGACTACAATCAACTTTGTTATATCCCCTACCCCCGTTAAAAACAAAACCAACAACAACAAACACAAAACAAAAACAGAAAACAAAAACAACAAAAAACCAAAAAAAAAAAAAAAAAAAACACACAGCTGTGAATCGGGCAGGCCCCCCCCCCCTTTCCTCATCCCTTGCATTTTCTTGCATATTGTCCATGTTTACCTTGAGATGTTCCCATTTTTTATAGTGGAGCGTCAACGTATTTCGTTCAGTAGCACTCTTTCTTTCTTCCTGTTTACTTTTGAATATTTTCTCTCTTATTTCTTCAATACTTGGAGGCTTCTTTTTTTCCCTACTAATAAATATCAAATATTAAATTAATAAAACCACGTGATTAATCATTTGCCTATCTTCGGTTATTTCGTCTAATCCAATGTGAACTTCCTTCCAGCTCATATCTTTAAGGATTGGAATATCCAAACTATCACTACATTGATCCCATAATTTTCTCACCATTTCGCATTCAAAAAATATGTGCTTATATGTTTCCTCTTCTTTTCCACAAAATGAGCATTTATCACTTAATATGAATTGAAACCTGTATAAATAACGATTGACATAAACAATTTTATAAAGCAATTTGGATTGAAATTCTCTTAGTTTATTATCTAAAGTACTAATTCTTGGTCGGACAAAAACCTTTTCAATTTCTTTAACCGACAGATTGTATGATGAATGTAAATTCTGAAAACTGACAGGGACGTCTTGCATTTTTTGTATGCATGCCCTGTACAGATTCTTCGAACAAACCGATTCAAATTGGAATGTTTTTTTTGTGAACATAAATTCTATTTTTAGATCATGAAATGAAATTTGCCTCTTTGTTTATTCGATTTTCCATTCCTTAGGTATATTACCATAGATTTCTTTAAGCATTGATATTTCCTCTTCCACTAGTCCCATACATCTGAAATAAGTTTCCGACTTTAATGTTCCTTTTCCATCTATAATATGGTACAATCTATAAGTATTTTTTAAGAAAAGATTTTCATTGAAGTATGTTTTTCCACTATTGTGTATAAACCTATTATTTAAAAAAATTTCATTCCCTTTGTGAGTTGTATCTTTTTAAATAAAATCATTAATATCTAACCAAATATTTATTAAATCCCGATAGTATTTTGGTAATTGTATATCGATCTTGTTAGGTAAATAGTTACAGTAAAAAATAAGATTTCCTCCGAAAGGTCTCATTAAAAATTTGAAATACTTTTTCCATTTAACTCTCTGGTTTCCTGTTACAAGTCTTTTAATCCACATCACCTTTTGTACTTTCACAAAAAGTTGAAAGTTGAGCATTTTTAATCCTCCTTGCTTGTAATCAAAATACATCGTACTTTTTTTAATTTTGTCTTTACCTCGCCATAGAAAATTAAAACAGATCTCATCAATTTCTTTTATAACCCATTCAGGCACTGGAGTCAAAGAGCTTACATAGATTAGTTTTGAATATGCGTATGTTTTCAGTAAATGAATTTTCCCTATCAAAGTAAGATCTCTTTGTTTCCACCAATTTAACGATTTCTTTATTTTGCTTAATATTTCTTTGTAATTCATCTCTTCCGCCACATTGGGATCTAATGTAAAATATATACCGAGTATTTTTAAAATGTGTGACTCCTTTCCAAAAGGATACACAGTCGCAGAGCCAACAGAAGATCCTAAGGGTAAAATAAATGTTTTATTTCCATTAATCTTTAGTCCTGATATTTTCCTAAAATTTTCCATGATTACCTCTATTCTATTAATCGAGTTTATGTCTCGTACAAAAATTGACATGTCATCTGCATATAAGATCATCTTTATTTCTGTTTCTCCAAAACAAATACCTTTTACCAACTTATCATTTCTAATGCAGTGAGTTAAGCATTCTATGCATAAAATAAATAAATATGGAGATAACGGATCTCCTTGTCTTACACCCTTTTGAACTTTAAAATATCCGGTAGATTTACCCCCATTAAAAACACAACTTTGAGCATTGGTAAGTAAAATTGTAACCCATTCACAAAACATTGGCCCAAACCCGAAAGAAATGAGCACTTTCTGAAGAAAACTATGTGAAATCGAGTCGAAAGCTTTTTCATAATCTATTGCCAATAGGTACCCTGGTTTGTTAAAACAAGAAGTATGAAAAATCATATCATTGATTAATCTGATTGCATCACCAATGTTTCTATCTTTTAAATAACCTACTTAATCGACCGACACAATTTCATTCAAAACTGTTTTTATTCTTTTAGAAAGTATTTTGGTAATAATCTTATAGTCTACGTTGAGTAAGGAGATAGGTCTATAATTACTAATGAATTTGGGGTCTTTACCATCCTTATGTATAAGCGTTATGATTGCTTGTTTTTGAGAAGGTGACAATTCCTTGAATTTCATAGTATCGTTAAATGCCTTAAGAACTAAGTCACCAACTACATGCCAGAATGTAATATAAAATTCTACATTTAATCCGTCATTTCCTGGGGATTTATTTAACTGCATTTCTTTTAAGATTTCAATACACTCTCCCTGGTTAATTTTTCCTTCACATAGCTTCCTCTGATTTTCTGTTAATTTGGGTAAGGTTTTGGGGAAAAAATTAATATTTTCGCATAATCCTTCTTCTGATTTAGCATACAGTTTAGAAATAAAAACGCTTGATGGATAATCATTATAGTGATTATCGATGAAATTTCTTTATCATAACCCATCTGTGTCTGCTTTGTTGACTCTATTTATATACTCAGGTGGTATATCTGGCACGGAATCCGAAAGATGTGGTCAACTCTTATTTCAATTTCATAGGAAACACACGGGCTTTTGATAACGCTCCATATGATAAAGTCGCCGAGGCCTTTATGGAAGAACGTAAGTTATTATTTAATTTCTGATATTAAGAATACAAATTAAATCGAGTACTTGTCATACGAATACATTGTGAATGTAATCACAATGTAGGGGTATATACCAATGTCTAAAAAAATTGTATATTTTCGATTTGAGATTTCCCTTTGTAGGTGTCCTTTTTTTCTTCAGAAAGTGCCCTTTTTTGGTGCCTGCCCACTTTTGAAGTCGCTCGGCCGCCCCTGAAGGCCCTGATGTGTATAGTATGATATAGTCGGAGGTTTCGGAATCGTCAAAATGAAAGGCAATTGACTCCATCTCGCTAAAAATCATATGCACTGCACACATAAGTGGATGTGGGACTACATTGACATATGGCAGGAGAGTTTTGTCCAAAGTTTTCAGCTTTTTCTTACTGACCGCAGAGAAAATGTCGTATATAACCGGACATTGACAATGTTAAAATCTTTCTTTCAATTTCCAGAAAATTTCAGATGGGGTTCTTGGTTTGATCATGTGATGGCCGCGTGGAAGCTCCGAGATGAAGAGAATATTCTTTTCATGTTCTACGAAGACATGCAAAAGGTATATGTATGTCTAGATTATACCTGCAATATCAATCCCCTACAAAAAAAATGGCAGGGGTTCTCAAATTTAGGGGGTGTCTGTTTATTTATTTGTTAATGTCTGAAACGCAAGGAAAAGGGTCCTCACGTTAGGGGGATCCTTTGTCATTACCGAACCGAATAAAGACATATATTCTTAGCTATATTTTTTAATCATTTTTACAGGCATGACTAAATTATGGTGGCCCTGAAGGGACATCGCGAATAGACTAAATCGTGAAAAATATGCGATAAAATTCACGATATCGTCAATTTTATCGCATATTTTTCACGAAGAAATTCACGAAATTGACGATATCGTGAACTTTATCGTGAACTTTTCACGATGAAATTGACGATATCGTGAATTTTATCGTGAAAAGTTCACGATATAAAGTTCACGATATCGTCAATTTTATCGTGTACTCTATCGTGTACTCTATCGTGTACTCTCCTGACGGGCGCTTCGTAAACAAAACCAGCCCTAGATGGGGGAGACAGAGAGAAGGAAAAAAGGGAAAGGGAAAGAGAAGATAAAAGGAAAGAAAGAATAATAAGAAGAAAAGAGGGAAACGGGGGGGGGGGCGAAGGGCTCTTGCCTCCTCCTCACTCCCCCCCCCCCCTCCCCGCCAAAAAATAAATCAGAGAGAGAGAGAGAAGGGAAAGGGAAAGGGAAAGAGAAGATAAAAGGAAAGAAAGAAGAGGAAGAAGAAGAAAAGAGGAAAACGGGGGAAGGGCGAAGGACTCTTGCCCCCCCCCCCTCCCCCCGCCAAAAAATAAATCAGAGAGAGAGAGAGAAGGGAAAGGGAAAGGGAAAGAGAAGATAAAAGGAAAGAAAGAAGAGGGAGAAGAAGAAAAGAGGGAAACGGGGGCAAAGGGCTTTTGCCTCGTCCCCCCGCCCCCCGCCAAAAAATAAATAAGAGAGAGAGAGAGAAGGAAAGGGAAAGAGAAGAAAGAAAGAGAAAAACGAAAAAGAGGGAGAATAGGAAAGAAAGGAAAAGAAAGAAAAGAAAGGAGGCAAGAGCCCTTCGCCCCTGTTTCCCTCTTTTCTTATTCTTTTTCCTCTTCTTTCTTTCCTTTTATATTTTCTTTCCCTCTCCCTTCTCTTTCCCTTTATGGCGGGAGCGGGGAGGGGGAGGTAAGAGCCTTTCGCCCTTCCCCCGTTTCCCTCTTTCCGTCTTCTTCTTCTTTCTTTCCTTTTATATTTTCTTTCCCTTTCCCTTTCCCTTCTCTCTATCTCTCTCTCTCTCTCCTATTTATTTGTTGGCGCGGGAGGGGGGAGGCAAGAGCCCCTCTTTTCTTCTTATTCTTCTTCCTTTCCTTTTTTATTCTCTTTCCCTTTCCCTTCTCTCTCTCTTATTTATTTTTTGGGCGGGGGGATGCAAGAGCCCTTCGCCCCCGTTTCCCTCTTTTCTTCTTCTTCTTCCTCTTCTTTCTTTCCTTTTATCTTCTCTTTCCCTTACCCTTTCCCTTCTCTCTCTATCTCTTATTTATTTTTTTGGCGGGGGGTGGGGAGGGAGGAGGAAAGAGCCCTTCGCCCTTCCCCCGTTTCCCTCTTTCCTTCTTATTCCTCTTCTTTCTTTCCTTTTATATTTTTTTTCCCTTTCCCTTCTCTCTCTTATTTATTTTTGGGGGGGGGGGGGGGAGGAGGCAAGAGCCCTTCGCGGCCCTTCCCCTGTTTCCCTCTTATTCCTCTTCTTTCTTTCCCTTTCCCTTCTCTCTCTCTCTCTCTCTCTCTCTTATTTATTTTTTTGGCGGGGGGGGGGGGGAGGTAAGAGCCTTTCGCCCTTCCCCCGTTTCCCTCTTTCCTTCTTCCTCTTCTTTCTTTCCTTTTATATTTTCTTTCCCTTTCCCTTTCCCTTCTCTCTCTCCTTATTTATTTTTTGGCGGGGGGGGGGGGGGGGAGTGAGGAGGAGGCAAGAGCCCTTCGCCCCCCCCCCCCCCCCCGTTTCCCTCTTTTCTTCTTATTATTCTTTCTTTCCTTTTATCTTCTCTTTCCCTTTCCCTTTTTTCCTTCTCTCTGTCTCCCCCAGCTAGGGCTGGTTTTGTTTACGAAGCGCCCGTCAGGAGAGTACACGATAGAGTACACGATAGAGTACACGATAAAATTGACGATATCGTGAACTTTATATCGTGAACTTTTCACGATAAAGTTCACGATATCGTCAATTTCGTGAATTTCTTCGTGAAAAATATGCGATAAAATTGACGATATCGTGAATTTTATCGCATATTTTTCACGATTTAGTCTATTCGCGATGTCCCTTCAGGGCCACCATACTAAATGGTGCCCCTAGAACGTCTTTGGATTAGGAAGGGGTTCTTTCAGATAATTTATTTTTCAGGCACAACAAATGGTTCAGTGCTTCAAGTCTTTGAAATAAATGTAGGTAATATAAGGTGATGTGTAAATCCCATATTATCATTATTATCATATTTTTAATTAGTTAAATAATTGATTTCCCCCAATTATTCAAATATATTCATTTATCTCTTACATCTTTCCCCTCTCTTGCTCCCCGCCCCCACCTCTTTCTTGATCTATCTCTGTCCGTCTCCCCTCTCTTTCGATCCCTCTTTTTCCCTGTCTCTCTGTTTTGTTTTCTCTCTCACTTTTATTTTTGTTCAAATAGGAACCAGTGAAATCCATTGAGCAAGTAGCCAAATTTCTTGGACGCCCACTCTCAGAAGAAACATTACAGCGCGTACTGGAACACAGTTCTTTCAAAGGGATGTCACAAACGTATAGAAAAGCAGCAGAAGAGGCGGCGAAGAGCGGAGGGATCGACTTCACAGCTCCGAGCTTTCTGAAAAAGGGTAAAGTCTTGAATTCATTACTTGATAAGAGACATACAATGGTAAAGGCAATATCAAACAACACAAGAAAAACGATTGCTCCGTTATGCCATAACGGCTTTTCATTTATCATGATTATAAATTCACCTCCCCCCCCCCCCCCTCCACCAAAAAGAAAAAAAGAAAAACAAAGAAAAACTAAAATCCGTATTGATATCTGAAATTACAGCAAGCGTATTGCTTATCACGGTCGTTACAAAAAGGAACTATACCCCTAGTATTGTATCCACGGATAGAACATTAGACTTGACCATTACTCATTGCTTTTCTGATTTTTATACTAGGTACGAGTGGTCAATGGAAGAGCCGATTTACGGTGACTTTAAACGAAACCTTCGACAGATGGTACCAGAAAAAGGTGAAAGGAGCCGACATCAAATTCGACTTCGAATAAAGGGAACAAATTTCCATCTTATGAATATTAATATATATTTTTGTAATGTATCGATTGGATATAAATAAATGAAAGTAGCACAAGTACATGTATGTTTTCATTACTCTCCGAAGTTGCCCAAGCTTGCCTAAATCACACTGGTAGATGGTAGAACAATGTATCAAAATGTAAGTGTAAGTTTTGTTGGATTCTGTGACCAAATACGTTGGACCTGTCCCAAACTTACATTACTAAGAACCAAATATAAAAACAATTCTCTATTTGTAAAAAAAGGTAGATTATGTGCTATTTTTACTTTCCATTGAATTTGTCTGTACAAAATACAAGTATGTGGCATTGGAGAAGGGCAGAGAATATTTCATAGAGAACAATGCAATGACAATATTAAAATCACTGTTTTTCACTTTTCACATTTGACCGAATGAGTTTATGTACAATGTGTTTTGATAGCTGTTGGCCTAGGGTTGATTCACTCAAATCCAACTAAACTAGTACAATACAAGACAGGGACTACATCGTGTTCATGTGTCTAAACCAAAAACTGATGAGTCTTAAAACTCTTTATTACGTCACAATCTTTCGTGCGCGCTTACAGTGTAGCTGCTCCTAATGAATATTTATGCATATTCTTACATCCTCCCTTTTTTGTAAAAGATGTGGAGTGACATCATTATTTAAAGGATATAACCATATTACTGTCATGGATACACAAAACAAATAATTTTGGTTATTAAAATTTCTGTCTTAGTGCAATCTTTAACTTTAACATATCAAAATCATAAAGCATGGAATATATAGTCGAATGTTGAACTAGAACATGACTTTGGTGTACAAATAAGATTAAATAGCTCGAAATACAATCTTTGCTATGTAGTATATCCGTTGTAACCAGTTTTATGATTAAAATATCAACAAATTAAATGCTTTTTTTTTCTTCATTTTGTTTTGTTTTTCTAACACAACACTAGAGTACTTATTTACAGCTGTCTATTATACATAATGTAAGCATAACACTTTTCAAACTAACAAACTCAATCTGATCAAACTCTCTTGGGAGTGAAATCTTAGCAAAATAAAACATTATCAGGATATTTTTGACTTAAATTCTTGATCATACTAAAATGTTCCGCAAAACTTTGGCTAGACATCTTTGTCAATCAAATAATTTCAACACATATGTATATTAACTTGCATTAGTTTTCAACAAAATCACAGAATCATCTTTTTTGCTTCAAACATCTTACTTGTCAACATAGTCACCAAATCTTTGGGGTGGCTTGCTTACTCTACCAGATCTGGTCTTTAGGAAAGACTGAGTGTCATTTTTGTCTACCTGTTCTGTTCGAGTATTTTGTGTTCTCTGAGGTTTGTTTTCTTTCACGTGATTTTGAGTACTTTGAGGGTGTTTAGTCATGACAGTGTTAGATGGTAGATACGCCTCTTTCCTTTCAGTCCCATGAGCACGTGGTTGTGGCTGTGGCTTCTCAGAAATTGTTTTCTGTTGATCTTCCTCAGTGTTTGGTGGGGGTTCTTCAGTTCTCTTGAGGTCGACCCTGTTTCTTCTGAGGAGTAATCCAGAGTCGGTCTCCACCTCGTAGGACCTCTCGTCGAGCCGTCTATTTACCACTGCTCTTTGCCAAACTGTGCTTCCTGATTTGTATGGCTTGAGACGTACGATATCTCCTTCTACTAAGGTCGGCAGATCTTTGGCATGTAAGTTGTAGCGTTCTGACTGCTTACGTTGTAGCATTTTAAGCTTTTTCCTGTCTTCACTGAGAACCTCTGCACCTCTTGGTTTCAGGAGACTGGATGAAGTGGGAAGTAGTGTTCTCGTCCTCCGTCCATGAAGCCTTTGCGCTGGGCTACTGTCAACACCTTGGTTTGGGGTATTTCGGAGTTCTAGCATTGCTAAGTAGGCGTCACCCTTAGACTGTGATGTTTTCTTGAGGAGTCTCTTTGCAGCCTTCACTGCAGCTTCTACCTTCCCATTTGCCTGGCTGTGTCTTGGGGAGATTGTGACGTGATCAAACTGCCATCTTTTAGAGAACTTCGCGAAATCTTCGGATGAGTACTGTGGTCCATTGTCACTGATTACAGTGCTCGGGATGCCATATCGAGCGAAGTGGCTCTTCAGTTTCCCGATTACTGCCCGACTGCCAAGGTCATACAGTCTGTCGATTTCCCAGAAGTTGGAAAGGTAGTCGACGGTAACGAGGTAGTGTTTCTTGTTAAGTTCGAACAGGTCGGTACCTACTTTCTCCCATGGCCTGTCTGGGATGTCGTGTGGCATGAGGGTTTCCTTCTGGTTCTGCTGCTCGTACATTCTGCAGGCTTCACATGTCTGGATAAACTGCTTGACATCCGCGTTCATCCCAGGCCAATAGATGATTTCTCTGGCCCTTCTAAGGGTCCCTTCAATTCCAAGATGAGAAGTGTGAAGAGTTTCCTTCATTTCCTTGCGGAGGGTTATGGGGATGACTACTCTTTCTCCCCTGAATACTAGTCCATCTTGCACGCTTAGCTCGTCTCGGATATTGAAGTATGACTTAGCCGCTTCGGGTACTTCTGCTTTCTGTTCCGGCCAACCTTTGTGGATGACCTTCTTGACGGTCTGTAGAACCTCATCATTGTTAGTATGAGATTGCAGTTGTTTAACCCTCTCCTCTCCCATACTCAGGGTTTCAACGATGTTCACCTCACCAAATTCAGTGGCTCCTACAGTGGTGGGTAGGTAAGCTCTTGACAGCATGTCAGCCAGATGCATGTCCTGTCCCTTTACCCAGGTGATGTCGATGTCGTAGTGCAACATCCTCATTAACATTCCTTGAAGGCGTCTTGGTGCCTTATGGAGAGGTTTCTTGACGATCGCCTGTAAAGGTTTATGGTCACTCTCGACTATGACCCTTTGTCCAAAGGTATATTGGTGGAATCGTTCGAGAGCGAAACATATGGCAAGTGCCTCTTTCTCGATCTGGGCGTACCTCTGTTCAGTTGCTGTTAGAGCTCTGCTAACGTAGGACAACGGTTGTCCCTTCTGGAGAAGTACTGCTCCGAGCCCTGACTTGCTTGCATCACACTGGATGGTCAGTGGTAGGTCTGGTGAGTAATATGCTAGGACAGGTGCCCTGGTCAAAGATTCCTTCACTCTTGACATTGCCCTCTCGTGCTCCGATGTCCATTCCCAATCGGCATCCTTATGTGTTAGTCGTCTCAACGGCTCAAACATATCTGACAGCATAGGTAGAAACCTTGCGAGGTAGTTGACGCTGCCTTGTAGGCGTTGCACTTCCGTAGGGTCAGAAGGGTTGGGCATCTCTAGAATTGCTTTGACCTTTTCAGGATCTACCTTCAGTCCCTTGTCTGTCACTATGTGTCCTAGAAATGGAATGCTTGTAGCCTTCAGCACAGATTTCTTCTGGTTGAGTTTGATACCTTTATCTCTGCATCTCTGGAGCAGAGCTTCTAGCTTACGATCATGGTCCTTCTCTGCTTGCTCTCTGTTGTCTCCAACACCAAACAGGATAATGTCGTCAGCAACACACTCAATTCCATCAAGGCCATCCAAAGCCTGTTGTAGCTTCTTTTGGAATATTTCCGCTGACGCATTCAGACCAAAGGGTAGTCTTTTCCATCTATATCTCCCGAACGGGGTGTTCATTGTTGTAAGGAAGCTACTCTCATCATCAAGCTCACAGTGGAGATAGCCTGATCTCAAATCAAACTTGGAAAAGATCTTAGCCTTTGACAGCTCCGGGAGAATGTCTTCCATGACTGGCAATCTGTGTATTTCCCTTTGCAAGGCTTTGTTGAGGGGTCTTGGGTCAATGCAAAACCTCAATTCATTCTTGTCTTTCTTCTCAATAACGACCAGTCTGCTACACCATGGGGTTGGTTCCTCAACCTTTATCAAGATGTCTTGGTCAACCAATTTAGCAAGTCCATCCTTGACTCTCTGCTTCATTGCAACTGGTACTGGTTTGGCGTTACACTGTGTTGGGGTCACTTCTTCCCTGGTCACCAACTTGACCTTGCCAGGTAGTTTTCCAGGAGTTTGCTCGTCGAAGATGTCACTGAAACTCTCTAAGATGTTTTCAGGGCTTACAGCACAGACCTGGTTGAAGTTCTCATAATGTACAGTTATGAATTTCATCTGTTGTGCAGCTGGACCGCTCAGGAGTGGTACTAAGTTCTCCTTAACAACGATGAAGTTGACTCTGTACTTCTTGTTGTTCTTAGTGTTACGCAACACGACCTTAGCCCGACCTTCTGCTTGAAGACGAGAACGGTTGTACATCTTCAGTATGATGTTCTCTTTGACTATGTCTTCTGCACTCGGGACAAGGCTCTTTGAAATAACATTCACACTCGCACCTGAGTCAATCTGGAAGTTAGCTGGCCTGTTCTCAACCAACATCTCCGCAAACAGTCCTTTGGATGGTTTGGTGCCTGTAGCGTACACCTCTATCTCTATGTGGTTCACAGATTCCGTTTCCGACTCTGTCTGGTTCTCTGCTGAATCCTCAGACTCTACGTTATGGATCTCCTTCTTGTACTTTGATCCCTTCTTACAGCATATGGCGAAGTGGTTTTCTTTCCCACATTTCTTGCACATCTTCCCATAGGCGGGGCACTCTTCCTTTTTGCGTCTATGAGTATTTCCGCAGAACTTGCACTTTATGAGATTCTCTCCTTCTGGCTGTCGCCTTGGACTCTTCGTCCACTGCTTTCTTTCATGTGACTTTTCTACCCTGTGGATAGAAGGATCATCTCCAATGACCTGCATTTGGGAGGCAGTGACTTCAGAAGAACGGCAAATGTCTATAGCTGTCTCCAACTTCAAGTCTTTCCTTTGGAGGAGGATTTTCCTTGTTGCAGTATCAGCAATTCCCAACACGATGCGATCTCTGATGAGGCTTTCCCTCAGGCAGTCGCAAAACTTACAGGTTTTAGCGAGCTGTTTCAACTCTGTCACATATGCTTCGATGCTTTCACCTTGTTTCTGGTCCCGCTTGTTGAATATGAATCTCTCATATATCTCATTGGTTTGTCCGATGATGACAGAATTCATCTTCTGGATAATGACATCGACTTTCTTGTCATCTCCATCTCTTTCAAAAGTAATAGCATTGAAGATTTTTAGACCTTCAGGACCTACTGTATGGAGAAATACAGCTCTTTGGTACTCACTGTCCTGTTGCTTTAACTTAGTGATAACCTCATAATTTTCATACATTTGTTTAAACATCTTCCACTCTTCCACCCTATCTTCTTTATGCCTTAGGGGTGGCGGTGGTGCAATATGAAAGGGAAGTTGAGCTTCAGCCATGTTTGTAAATGTGTACAATCCAATCTGTTACATGTAATGTCACTGAACCTGGTTCTGTCCTAGACAAAAAGTACCATGCATGCAGAGTTACTACAACAAATATAATGCA